TAATTTTCCACTTTCTTCTTTACACTTTTTATACGTTAATTATGGTTTCACACAAAACTTTCTTCTTTACACTTTCCACACGTTAATATATAGTCTAATATTCCAAAAAACCTTAACTTATCCCATATCTTCTAGTTGATGAATCCTTCATTACGATAATGGAATACTACATCAATAGCATTCTAACCAATAAAATGTTTATAAATCATAAGATTCTTTTTCCATCACATTCATTAGAGGTTTCTCATGCTGGTTCTTGTTAATTATGGTTTCCACAAAAGACTAGATTATAAGCAACTATTAGTTGTCACATATCAACTTTTAATTGTGAATTTTCTTGAAATAGCTAAATCAAATAGGATAGAAACTCTTGACTTTATTTTTTTAATGAATTTTTTTCATTCAGCCTTTTTCATTGCCCAAATCATAACTTGTGAAGCTCGTCTTCTCTACTATTCTACCATGCTCACTAATAACTTTTCAACAAGGGTAAAAGAAAATAAAAGAAGTTAGTGTAATGTATGTCATTTTCCTAAAAAAATTTTTAAGGTATTTATCTAAAAACAGTCGAACCCAAATGAGATGTTAGGATAATGAAAATAATTGTGAAAAAGGTTGATACTCTACAATTTCTCAAAGCGGAAGAGACCACTATTTGTTGTTAGATTGGCCTTAAGACAATTCCTACTAAGATCAAGGCCAATCACGTGACCTTTCACCTTGTTGCATGTGATGCCCTCCCACAAGCAGCGGCCTTTACTCTCATTCCAAGTTTGTATTATAGGACAAGCACCACCAAGACAGTCTTCCATCAAATTAGTAGTGCTTTTGAAATCAAGCAGTGCAGAATGCTCTTCCGGACAGGACAAAAGTGGTGATGAATCGGGAGAAGATTGAGAAGGTGAGGAGCTTTGGACTCAAAACCATAACAACATGAAGGAAAGGAAGAGGATTTGGGAAAACCTTATTAAACTTGCCATTTTCTTAAAGATGAACACAAGTTGGGAAATAAAGGAGTGATGGATTATTCAAAATAGTAGGGCAAGATACAAGAATTTATGGTCTTCCCAAGAGTGAAAGTCCTTTGGCTTTTCTCCGAATTAGGTGTACATTTCTTTAGCACGGTCAAATTTTTTCTTTATCTTTTTATATAAAATAATGTTTACACAGTTAAACTTACTTCTATAATTTAATAAAACTGTTTTTAATATTACACATATTAATATTTAAACTTTTTTTTATTATTGTTAGTACACATAATTAACTTGAAGTGAGGAGTATAGGTCATTATAATATGTGTTGAAGTGAGGAGTATAGATCATTATAATGTGTTAGAGCGCCAGGCTTCAAAGCTATTTGATAGGTGCATTTATTTTTTTTGACAACTTTTGCATGACATGACTCTTCAACTTGTTAAACTTGTTGTTATAAAGTTGGCTCTCTTCAACTTGTTATTATTCTTGGTTTTAGAATGCATGGTATGACCCTTGCATGTATTAAATGAAAATAAAGATAATATAATTATAGTATTTCATGACATTATAAACTTATCATATGATGTATTGTTATGTAATTAGTTTTTTTATTTATTTAAAAATTTACTAATAATATTGTATGTATTCACTTATTTAATATTATATTATAATTGGAAGTTCTTAATTATATATGATATTATAAATATAGTATTATCAAAATAAAAATACAAAACAAAAATTAGGTATAAAAACATAAGTCAATGTAAAAGTTGAAATGCTCCATTTTCTCATACTAGTATAAAAAAAGTTCCATCTAATTTGTAAAAGGAGAAGAGATAAATTTTTAACATTTTTTCTATATTTGTTTGATTTTTATGACATAATATATTCTCATATATTACCTAAGAATATATCAACACTAAGTCAATGTGACCCATAATTCACGAAACAAGATCTAAAATAATACTAATAACAGTGCCGCACTTCAGCTCGGCCAACCAATAAACCATGGACTTCTAAT